GCTGCCGCTTTTTTTCCGCACGGAGCTTTGTCGGAAAAAAGCGCCAGTCTAGACGCTGATCTTGCGGAAAATAAAGCCTTTTCCGAAAGATCCCTTATCCCTCTATGAAATAAGATAGACGTACCCTTTCAGAAACAAAAAACAGGACTGTGTAGCACTTTAAAGACTAACATGGTTTAATAGGTGATGAGCTTTCGTGGGCCAGACCCACTTCCTCAGATCAAATAGTGGAAGAAAACTGTCACAACCATATATACCAAAGGATACAATACAGGACTGTGTAGCACTTTAAAGACTAACAAGTTGGTTTAATAGGTGATGAGCTTTCGTGGGCCAGACCCACTTCCTCAGATCAAATAGTGGAAGAAAATTGTCACAACCATATATACCAAAGGATACAATTAAAAAAAATGAACACATATGAAAAGGACAAATCAAATTTCAGAACAGAAGGGGGATGGAGGGAGGGAAAGGGGAGGAGGTAGATGTCTGTGAGCTAATGATATTAGAGGTGATAATTGGGGACGCTATCTTTGTAATGGGTAAGATAATTAGCGTCTTTATTCAAATTTGCATGTAAAGTGTCAAATTTGATGAGTTGTATCTCTTCCACCACTGCTGGCAGATGTGAGGAGCTGTGTGCCAGTAGCCACCATAGCTTTATTGAACCTACCAGCATCTTGACCATGTGGCTTTTTCTCATCCGCCAGTAGATGGCACTCTCTCTATTAACGACTTGCACCCATAATGCCAGGTAGGATGGAAAAGCATTTATTTGTGCCCTGAAGCTCTCTATCCGGAGAAAGCCCTTTCTATGCGCGGCCATGAGGCAGTTGGCACTGCAGTTCTGAGGGGGCGAATTTGGGGGGCGTGCCGCTAAATGCAGCAGGCTCGGTGACCTTCCTTGTTTCCATTTTTATCCCACAGATGGCTTCTGTCTGTCCGAGTGGGACGGCATTGTCTGCTGGCCCGAAGGCGTGCCGGGCAAAGTGGTGGCCATGCCCTGTCCCGACTATATCTATGACTTCAATCACAAAGGTAATGAAGCTTCTTTCCAAATACTAGAGGAACCCTTTCATGAGAAGCAGGGAGCTGAGGACCCAAAAGCCAGGCATTGGCCTTTTCCATCTTGAATGGTGTTCCGGGTTTACAACTCAGCCCTTAAGCGGTATCCTGGAAGTCCCCCAGTTCCGAGGAGTCTTATTTTGCCACAAAGATAGGCCAGAGGGCTTCAATATCTAGACTGGGCTTAGGGGGTCCATCCAGCAATCCCACAGCATCCACTCTGAGCAACAAGTCTGATGGTGGTAGACACCCGGTCAGGGGCGTTTGACCCTTTTCAAACATCAATGCACATCAACCTCGCTCCATCTTTGCAGGTGTCCACAGCCCCCTGATATCCGGTATCCATTGGCTTTTGAAATCCATTTTTCTGTCTTATTCAAGATCCCATATTTTAAGTTACACCCTTCGATGGGTGCCTCCGTTAGGTTTGAGAGTTGCTGTGTAGAACAATCCAAAGTTCGGTTGCTACGGGAGGTCCTCTGGGACAGGGGCTGGATCTGGCCCATCAAGGCACCGGATCCGGCCCACGGACACCTTGCTGGAACCCTGAGGCAGAGAACAGCTCACACTTTAAAAAGCCAGCTGTTCTCTGTTCTGGGTAGCCGGGAGGGAGACTTCTCATGCTGTTCCCACCCCCCAGCAAAATCTCTTCGCTCCCATTGGCCAATCTCTCAGTTTCTAGCCAATAGGAGCTGAGAATTTTTGCTGGGAGCAGGGTCAGTGTAGGAAGCCTTTTTCCTTCCTCTTCCACCCCGTCTTCCTCCCACTCCCTCTCATGGCCGGAAACAGAAATGCCCTGTTTTGAAAGATCCTGAACTCCTCAAAAAATGAAGATTTTTCAGGATCTTTCAAAATGGGGCATTTCTGTCAAAAATGCCCTGTCTAAACTGCCAGGTTTTTTTCAAAAAGCCCTGTTTTGAAAAAAAGTGGCAACTGCCATTATGCAAATGAAGCACGGGATATTGAAATCTCCGCTTCATTTGCTCTTTCGATACATCTAATTTACATCCCTCTGCCGACAGAGGGGTGTAGTTTAGACATAGCCTCAGGTTTTAATTCAGCAACCTGTCACTGCTCAGCAAATACTTAGTCACAGAATCATACGGTTGGAAGAGACCTCAGGAGGTCATCAAGTCCAATCCCAATCCCAACTAAATCAACCCAGCCAGGGCCTTGTCAAGCCGAGACTTATACATTTCTAGGGTTGGAGATTCCACCACCTCGCTAGGTAACCCATTCCAGTGCTTCACCACCCTCCTAATGAAATAGTTTTTTCCTAATATCCAACCCAGACCTCCCCCTCTATCCTATCCTAGGTTAAATCCCAAAATCCTACATACCAGTCCCCTGCCTTATGTCACAACTGCCTCTTTCACCCAAACAGACCCCACACTCCCTCCTGCACCCCAGTACCTTCCCCCAACCTCCCTTCCGTACCCAACCTCCATCCCAGACCCTGTACCTCCTCCATTAATATCATAGAAGATAAAATCTTGGAGTGCCCCCTCCATCAGAAATTATTGCCCACCCCTGCTCCGGGATCACCTAATCTGAAACAAACACCGCCCCTGCCAGGCAGGGCAGGCGGATGATGGGTGGCTAAGCTCTACGGATGGGTGGTTGACCCATCATGAAATGGGCTTCTCTTCCGCCAGGCCTGCGAGCTGCTAAGCGCCACGTTGTCTGCTTTCTCGTCCCTTTCGCCAGGCCACGCCTACCGGCGGTGTGACATGAACGGGAGCTGGGAGCTGGCGCCAGGCAACAACCGTACCTGGGCCAATTACAGCGAGTGTGCCAAGTTCCTGACCAATGAAACCAGGGAGCGGGTAGGCAATGCGGGGATCCCGGGAATGGGGGGATCCGGGCCGACCTCGCCCGAAGAGCTTCTGTTCTTAGACAGGCAGGGCCCTCTGGAACAGTTCTCAGGGTTTGTATTGCAGGTCACAATCAAACCTTCCCTGGGATTTTTTTCCCCAGTGGGAAATTACTTCACCTGCAGAGGACAGGGGTTTGTAGAAGCAGTCACATGTTTATCATGTGATCCCCAAAGTGGCCTGATCCATTTTTACAGGGATGGGGGAGTTGTGCGGGGGAGGAAAGAAGAGAACTATATGTCTCAGGTTATGGAGGGAAGAGCAGGCTTATACAATTTGCAGATGACGTAACCCACACACCTAAGCTATGTCTACACTGCAGGCTTCTTGCACAAGAACTTTTTGCCGAAGAGATCTTCTGCAAAAAGTTCTTGCACCAGAGCGCATCCACACCGCCCTGTGCTTTTGCGCAAGAGTGCGTCCACACGGCGCTCTGACGGCCATTCACAGAATGGCCAGCAGAGCACCTGTGCTTTTTCCCATAGGGGTTTCTTGCGCAAGAAACCCCTGGTGTCCGTCCACACGCACCTTTTTGCACAAGAGCTTTTGCACAAAAAGGCTTATTCCTCATAGAAAGAGGAATAACTCTTGCGCAAAAAGCCCTGTCTTCTGACAATCTACTGTACTTTTGCTTGCGCAAAAACACACTTGTAGTGCGGACGCTCCCTGAGCTTTTGCACAAAAACGGCTGGTTTTGCGCAAAAATTCTGCAGTGTAGATGTAACCCCAGCGTGGTTCACTGTCCCATGCAGTGGCACCTAGACCACAGCAACGGATAAGATCAAGAGACCTCTACAGCCTAGGTTGAGAGCCAGCTGGCTTTATAGCTCAAGCTGTAGAGGATCCTATACTAAGCTCCTCAGTTCAAATCTGTCCGGTGGTGGTTGCAATGATCCCAGGCTGGGAAGGGATGCAAGCAATTTGGGGGACATGATTAGAATTCAATGTGACCTCGACAGATGAAATTCAGTAAAGATGCGGGCAAAGTCAAACGGGCGGCCCAGCAGGGGGAGGGACTGGCTTGATGGTGCGCCAAAGAATCTTGGGTTTATGGTGACTTACAAAGGGAGGAGGCTCCCATGCTGTGAGGGTACGTCTACACTAGCCCCCTAGATCGATCTAGGGAGGCTAACGAGGGCAACCAGAATTGCAAGTCAAGCCCGGGATTTAAATATCCCACACTTGATTTGCATGTTCCCGGCCGGTCGCCATTTTAGAAATTGACTAGCCTGAAGTGCCCGTGTCTTCACGCGGCAGTGAAACAGGATTCTGATTTAAAGCCCCTAATTCGAATTAACTGGTAAACCTCATTGCAGGAGGAATACCAGCTAATTTGAATTAGGGCTTTAAATCGGAATCCCGTTTCCCGTGTAGACGCGGGCAATTACTTTGGGCTAGTCAATTTCTAAAATGGCGACCGGCCTGGAACATGCAAATCAAGTGTGGGATATTTAAATCCCCGGCTTGATTTGCAATTCCGGATGCCCTCATTAGCATCCCTACATTGATCTAGCGGGCTAGTGTAGACGTACCCTGAGGCAGTTGTGAAAAAAAGGCTACCCCCATGGTAGGGCGCATCAGCAGGCGTGCCGTAGGAAAGACACAAAATGTCACTGGGGAGGTCTTGGCTGGAGGACTGTGTCCGATTCCGGGTCCCACGCTGTAGGAAAGACATGAACAAACAGGATAAGAGTCCAGAGAAGCGCAACAAAAAATGATCCACGGGTTAGAAAACCTGGCCCGCGAGGAAAGGTTGAAAAACATGAGTCTTGCACACCGAAGAGGGGCCCGATGACAGATTTAAGCACTGGCAAGGGGTTTCCTAATGAGCCAGGCGATCCGTTCTTTTCGGCAGGTGCTGAAGGTAGGACAAGAAGCAACGGGCTGAATCCGCAGCGAGGGAGATTTCGGGGAGATATAAGGAAAAGCTTCCTAACTCCAATTCTAGTTAAGCTCTGGCACAGGCGTCCGAGGGAGGCTGCCGAATCCCCATCGCTACAGGTTTTTAAGAAAAGGCTGGACAAACTTTGATCAGTGCGAAACTAGTTGTACATGGTGCAACCCGAGCACAGGAGACTGGACTAGATGACGTCTCAAGATCCTTCCCTCCTCTACATGCCTGTCATTTTATAGAATCATAGAATTATAGGACTGGAAGGGACCTCGAGAGGTCATCGAGTCCAGCCCCCCGCCCTCAAGGCAGGACCAAGCTCCGTCTAAAACCAAGAGGAACAAATTTTCTCCTTCCTCCTTGTGACACCCTTTTAGATATTTGAAAACCGCTATCATGTCCCCCCTTAATCTTCTTTTTTCCAAACTAAACAAGCCCAGTTCATGAAGCCTGGCTTCATAGGTCATGTTCTCTAAACCTTTAATCATTCTTGTTGCTCTTCTCTGTACCCTTTCCAATTTCTCCACATCTTTCTTGAAATGTGGCGCCCAGAACTGGACACAGTACTCCAGCTGAGGCCTAACTAGTGCAGAGTAGAGCGGCAGAATGACTTCACGAGTTTTGCTTACAACACACCTGTTGATACAACCTAGAATCATATTTGCTTTTTTTGCAACAGCATCACACTGTTGACTCATATTCAACTTGTGGTCCACTATGACCCCTAGATCCCTTTCTGCCATGCTCCTTCCTAGACAGTCGCTTCCCATCTTGTATGTATGGAACTGATTGTTCCTTCCTAAGTGGAGCACTTTGCATTTCTCTTTATTAAACCTCATCCTGTTTACCTCTGACCATTTCTCTAACTTGCTAAGGTCATTTTGAATTATGTCCCTATCCTCCAAAGAAGTTGCAACCCCACCCAGTTTGGTATCATCTGCAAACTTAATAAGCGTACTCTCTATCCCAATATCTACATCATTGATGAAGATGTTGAACAGTATGGGTCCCAAAACAGACCCTTGAGGAACTCCACTTGTTATCCCTTTCCAGCAGGATTTAGAACCGTTAACAACAACTCTCTGACTACGGTTATCCAGCCAATTATGCACCCACCTTATCGTGGCCCTATCTAAGTTATATTTGCCTAGTTTATCAATAAGAATATCATGCGAGACCGTATCAAATGCCTTACTAAAGTCTAGGTATATGACATCCACCGCTTCTCCCTTATCCACAAGGCTCGTTATCTTATCAAAGAAAGCTATCAGATTAGTTTGGCATGACTTGTTCTTCACAAACCCATGCTGGCTATTCCCTATCACTTTATTACCTTCCAAGTGTTTGCATATGATTTCCTTAATTACCTGCTCCATTATCTTCCCTGGGACAGACGTTAAACTGACCGGTCTGTAGTTTCCTGGGTTGTTCTTATTCCCCTTTTTATAGATGGGCACAATATTTGCCCTTTTCCAGTCTTCTGGAATCTCCCCTGTCTGCCATGATTTTTCAAAGATCATAGCTAAAGGCTCAGATACCTCCTCTATCAGCTCCTTGAGTATCCTGGGATGCATTTCATCAGGACCTGGTGACTTGCTGACATCTAACTTTCCTAAGTGATTTTTAACTTGTTCTTTGTGTATCCTATCTTCTAAACTTACCCTCTCTCTGCTTGTATTCACTACGTTAGGCACACCTCCAGACTTCTCGGTGAAGACCGAAACAAAGAAGTCATTGAGCATCTCCGCCATTTCCAAGTTCCCTGTTACTGCTTCTCCCTCCTCGCTAAGCAGTGGGCCTACCCTGTCCTTGGTCTTCCTCTTGCTTTTAATGTATTTATAAAAGGTCTTCTTGTTTCCCTTTATGCCTGTAGCTAGTTTGATCTCATTTTGTGCCTTTGCCTTTCTAATCTTGCCCCTGCATTCCCGTGTTGCTTGCCTATATTCATCCTTTGTTAGTTGTCCTAGTTTCCATTTTTTATATGACTCCTTTTTTATTTTGAGATCGTGCAAGATCTCCTTGTTAAGCCAAGCTGGTCTTTTGCCATATTTTCTATCTTTCCTACACAGCGGAATTGTTTGCTTTTGGGCCCTTAACAACGTCCCTTTGAAATACTTCCAACTCTCCTCAGTTGTTTTTCCCTTCAGTCTTGCTTCCCATGGGACCTTACCTACAAGTTCTCTGAGCTTATCAAAATCTGCCTTCCTGAAATCCATTACCTCAATTGTGCTGGTCTCCCTTCTACCTTTCCTTAAGATCATGAACTCTATTATTTCGTGATCACTGTCCCCTATACTGTCTTCCACTTTCAAGTTCTCAACTAGTTCCTCCCTATTTGTTAAAACCAAATCCAGAACAGCTTCTCCTCTGGTAGCTTTTTCAACCTTCTGAAACAGAAAGTTGTCTCCAATGCAGTCCAGAAACTTATTGGATAGCCTGTGCCTCGCTGTGTTAGTTTCCCAACATATGTCTGGATAGTTGAAGTCTCCCATCACCACCAAATCTTGGGCTTTGGATAGTTTTGTTAATTGTTTAAAAAAGGCCTCATCCACCTCTTCCACCTGGCTAGGTGGCCTGTAGTAGACTCCTAGCATGATATCACCCTCGTTTTTTACCCCTTTTAGCTTAACCCAGAGACTCTCTACACAGCTATCTCCTACGTTCATCTCCACTTCAGTCCAAGTGTGTACATTTTTAATATACAAGGCAACCCCTCCTCCCTTTTTTCCCTGTCTGTCCTTCCTGAGCAAGCCGTACCCTTCCATACCAACATTCCAATCGTGCGTCCCATCCCACCAGGTTTCTGTAATACCAGTGATATCCCTGTTTATGATCCCCTGTTTAGAGAGAGGCATCCACATTGTGCTCTGACTTCAAAATAAGCGACGCCATTCACGCCGCGCAATCTCTTTCGCAATCACGGGCGCGCTCAAAAGTTGCGGAATAGCTATCTCGGGATAGTCCCGGTGTAGACGTGGCCTTCTGAGTAAGGGGCTACATTCCAGGCCAGACCAGGCTCAAGAGGCCTGGAGACAGGCCGTTGACACGCTCCAGAGTAGGA